ATATTTATATATATATATATAAGTATATATGCATATATACATCTGTTGTTTGCTTGTTGGAAAAATTATGCGTGAGTAGTCGAATTTGATTTGATTTTGCGTTTGCAACCACTTGATAGGCCTGCGGCATCAACAATATTTTGGCGTCTTGAAAATTAGTTGGCAAGCACAGATTTTGGCCTTTTCAAAGCCGTAAGCTAACATACTAAAGTTTTTAGCAAACGGAAGTCATTTAAGTCCCGCCTCAAGACTTGCTTAAGACACTTGAAAGTCTGGCCCGATTAAATTACAAATATCGTAATTAATCGCATAGCAAGTCCAAACGATTAAATTTAGGTTAGAAGTTTGTGTGCGTTGAGAATCATAATAATCACATCAGGCATTATGCATGCTAACTTTAAAAGCGCATTTATTTCAGCGTCATTTGTTTATATTTTAAATGCCTTTAAACACTTTTCACATTAAACAAATATACATATAGGGCCACCTGCCTTTTATCACACATCGTTTTTTTAATGTCACACTCATGTATTTTATCGCTTGTTTTTATCACACAGTGTGAGTATCAAGGTAGTCCCCAAAACAGATGCAAAACTGAGCAAAAGCAAATCACATTATCAACCAGGCCACAAGAGAATTGAAGGGGACTCGGACAAGGGAAGAGAAACAGAAGCTGCTCATTTTATGTTCATGGAATGGACACTACACCGGGGAAAAGTTGTTGTTGTTGTTGTTGATTTAGACTGAACACATTAAAAAATCTTGCAGAAGAAGGGTATATTGTTTGCAACAGACAAAAGAAGTTAACTCCGACCTTATAAATGTATACGTTGCCAGCATTAAAACCTTATTTCGAACTGTCGAAAGCTCCCATACTTTTCCTAAATTGAACATAATTTGAGCATAGCACGAAACTTAGGTAGAAAATTGTCATATGATACATTCAGATCAAGTTTAATAATAACTGAACAAATTGTAATCCTATAATATACAATATATACAAATCTCGTTAACAGGGTATCTCTAGTCGGCTATCTTAACTTGAACTCCTTTTGCTGCTTTGGGTTGGTTCTTGTTGTTTTTGGGGCGTGGTCTCTGTTGTTATGCAACGACGTACAGCAAGGTGTTAAATTATATCATTAGGCTCGCTGTGCATAATTTAATTAAAATGGCCAAAGGCTCGTGTTCTTCTGTCTCTTGTTGTCATTGTTATTGTTGTTGTTGCTGTTATTGTTGTCGTTGTGTGTTGGCATTGTTATTAAAATTTAATTAAAACGCTATCAAAAGCAACAGTTTGTTGAGCCACCATGTCTGCCGCACTGTCTGGCAAAACTGTTAACGCCAAATTGATTGCCCAGCCACATGGCAATAACTTTAATACAACCACAAGCACACACACATCCATACACACCCACTTTTCGCCCATTAAATCAAACACTCAGATATAGTTGAAGTCCAACAAGTCGACAACGCGAGTGCGCAGTCATTTAACTTTGACATCCCTGGGTTTCATTAAATGTACATTCAAACACGCACAAATGTGCAACAACACACACACACACACACACTCAGACACACACACAACACACCCACTCAACCCCACGCACATCCGCTTTTCTACTCGAAATGCAACATGAAGGAGTCTGAATCCCGGAACAGTTTAATTAATGTCAAGCATTAAGTGTGATTTTGCCAAGCTGCCAAAGCATCTGAGCGCAGCTTAGGTTACAGTTTTACAGTAATTACACTTTGAAAGGCTTGTGATTACGTTCAACTAAAACAGTAAACAGGCAACTAGTTACAGACTAGTCGCTCACCTAAGCCCACAACTGTAATTTAGTCTCGTCTTTAACTTATTGGCCGAATGCATTTGAAAAAATAGAAAAAATAGCGACGAAAAAATGCAGCGAGTAAAAACAAAACACTTCTAAAATTCTATTACTAAAGCTAACACGTACCTCCGACGAGTAGAAAGTAACGAGTAGAACTAATGAGTAATAATGTTGTAAGCTAGAAACTTGTCAGATATATAAACATAGCAATTAACTTTGAGAAAAAATGTGTAGTAAAAGCTTTGTATACGTCCACTTTTATGATTTAATTTAAAGAGAACTGAGCACAACTACTAATTGACCGCAATTGAATTGTTGAATATAATTAAAATAATCTTGCTTAACCCAAGTACTTGGTTCTGTCTACACCAACAACTGACACTCGTTGGCAAGTCAAAGGCAATTTACTTATATACAAGTCTTCTGTTGTTTGCCAAGAAATCCAAGAAATGGCAAAGCAGCTCAGGCAAAACTACAAAGGCCCAGAAGAAGAGCACACGCAACATTTTAAACATTTTCATTTAAAATAACTCTTAATTTGTGCAATTCATCAGCAAAAGAAAGCAAAAGAAGGCCAAAACAGCGCGTTGAGACTCTGGCCGGCCAACTTAAGAGCCAGAGGAAGAATGGCTTAAGAACTTCCGTTTCCACTGGCAAACGATCAACGAAATAATGACAGCAAACAATGCTAGAATGAGGCAACTGGAATGCAGCCAATGTATGGGAGGGAGCCGCATGCAATTGCAAACAATTAACAAATATGTTCTGACCATGGCCAGAAACACGCACGACTGCTGCCTCTACCTCGGGCTGGGGGATTGGCATTGGAATTGCAATTGGCCGACTGTCTGCTCGCCCGGCTGTTTTGTCTGTCTGTTAATTTGTCCGTCTGGCTGTCTCATCAAATGAAAATTGCTGCCAATGCCTGTGCCTGTGCCTGAGCCTGAGCCTGCAACGATCAAACATTGGCAACCGAATCCATTGGCAACGTCTTCTGCTCAATTGCCAACTCATTCATCATTTTTAATTATGACAATTGCCTGCTTCTGGTCGGAGCCCTAAGCCTGGGAAATGCGCGGCAGAAAAGAAAAGCTTGAGAAAATCATGCAGCTCACGTGCCTATTAGCTGTTAATGGCAATTGCCCACATTTGAGTGGGGCCTTAGGGCCGATGGATTTTTATGGCAGTTGTTGCCGAATTGGTAACCTGGATTTATTGCCTGCCCAACAGGTTGTTTGACGCCCAATAACATTTAATGCGTTGCCTTAATTAAGCTGCCAGTTATTGGCTCGAAACGAATTCGTTTTCTTGCTACTTGCTGAAATGGCAATCTGACAGAAGTGCCTACGATTTAATTTCACTCGTATTTCTATTAAAATTCTCTTAAGGTTTTGTTCCAAGTTTCCAGAAATACCTCCTTGGACATTTTCAATTGGCATCATTTTCATCAATTTTTATAATGTCAACTCAAAAGCAAATTACAAACATTTTTACGTAAAGAGCTGTCAAGTGTTGATTAAATATCTATCCTTTATTCTTATACTGTCATTGCTCTGTCAAAAATAATGCGGGTTTTTATACTCGAGAGCTTTTCTGACATTTGAAGAACTTTCAAAATATTTAATTATGTTTCCTCTGATTAGCTGCAACCACCCTTAACTTTCTGCTCCTAACTATTAGCTGTTCGTCAAATTGAAGCAGCGCTCGCCTTCGAAAGACAGACAGACAGATCTCAGCTAATCTCTTAATCAGGCAAACGTAATAACTCATGGCTGAGCGCAGGGAAGCCTCATAAAATAATAATGAGCGTTCTTATCGGAAGCAAACCGAAACTAGGGTATGCCGCACTTGAGCAGATGGCAAGCTATATATACATATATATATATATGATTATAAATATATTTGTGCTACCAATTACATAAATATGCCACGCGGTGAGCGGCAGGAAAGCTAATTAAATCAAAACGCATATAAATTAATAATTATGATTATAATTATGATTGTTTTAAGTGGCAGCGCAGCGGAAGGCAATGCAAAATGAATGCTGAATGGCATTTAAATGTGAATTTAATTGATGTACAATAGTCGTACCATGCAAATAATTACTCTTATTTTGCATAATATCGCATTTTCTGCTCTCTTGTCCCATCTCATTTACATGACAGTTGGCGAGCGTGGCGTATGCGTAATATTTATGTTCTTTTAGCCGTTCGCTGTTACGTCCAAATTTAATATCCAACACGTGCTTCTCGCAAATAATTACTTCAACATTACTTAAATTTTTAACGCATTGTCCTGTGCGGTTTTGAGGTGTGGCCCTCGCCTAGGGGTCAGTTGAGCCAGTTGGGGCTTGTCGCAATCGCTGACCCATTCTGTCAGCCTTGACAAACGTGCAGGCCCAGACTTGAGGCACGTATGCAAACATGCCAGCAGGCAACCGGCCAGGGCCGAGATAAAGCCAGTGATGAGATCACACTGTGATTTTTCAAAACTGTGACTCTCACTGTCATGGTAGTTATAATAGGATTGAGTAACTGTGATTGAGCTACGGCAAGACTATAATTGAAAATTAAAATTGACAAGGGTGTAATTAAGTTGTCTTCATTAAGTTGAGCTGTCTCCCAAAGCAGCGTGCTACATTCCACGTACCGCTCCATCGACCGAGGAGTCATGACCATATCGATCTAGCCAAGACCACATACAATTGTGTGTCACGCTCAGGGAATTTAAGAGATAGATATATACTTTCAATGTATAATGTAGGCTCTGCCAGAAACTCTCTAAATTAAATTAGAACTTTACTAATAAAGCATTTAATATTGATATAACACGCACGTCAACGCCATCCTTGAGTAATCCAAAGTAATTTAGGAATTTATTTTTCAGAATTTAGTTTTGTATGTTATTTCGAAGTATTCACTGGTTCCTCGTAGGCAGTTGTCCCTGACTGAAGCGCTCACAACGAAATATTGACTTGCTTCAATCACATAAAAAACCCCGCTGCACATCAATCAATTACTTAACTTACTCAGCTTAACACTTGCCCAACACTGAACCCAGTGCAGCACAACACTGAAATGTAACTCACAGTGCCTGCCATAATTGAATGCCCCTCGAAATATTTGCGACCAATAACACGTTTGCTGATTTTTGTTTTGTGCATTTCAGCTCGACACTCGTCAGCCCGTGCACATCAATCAAGCTGTAGACGTGGGTGCGTATGCTGGCCGTCTAGCGGATCGCCCCCACAGTCCCTTGCCCTAGTCCCAGCCAAATGTATGCCGGTCGCGCCACGCAATTCGCCAAAACCATCAGCAGCATGGCCTGCAGCATACAGAAACAGCCCTCACAGCCAGCACCGCCGACTGCCATGGCCATGACGGCAACTGGCGTGGGCATGGCTGGGGTCTCTGGAGGCGGCGGTGCCAGCGGTGCCGGCACTGTGCCCTCTACGCCCAAGTCCAACAAGGCAGCCGCACAGCCACGCGGCTCGCTGCCAACGGACGTGCATCAGCCGCCGCTGGAATTCCAATGGCCGCCGCCGCTGCCCGTATCCAGTCATACCAGCAATTTGCGCCTGAACATGATGAACCAGGATCCCAAGGATCTGCACACGGCACGCGCCATTATTGAGGAGCTGCGCTCCAAGGTGCGCTTCCAGACGGAGCACATTATGAAGTGGCGCAAGGCCTACGCCATGCAGGTTAGTGGCACACAAATCATACCATTGGGGGCAAGACAGTTAAAATATGCCGTATGCCCGTTTTTATATTGTTTTGCATACAGTCTGCCTGGCCGTTCGTCCGTCTGAACTCGTTTTATTTGCGTTAGACACCAAGCTGCTTAAGCCATTAATTGGCCATTCCAAATTCTGTAATTACTCCAGGCACGGTTTGAAAGTAAATGGCTTTGGGTATTATTATCTTAGAGTCTCCTAGCTGTTTATATACGTAGACAAAATATACGTAACAAAAAATGTTTAGAAACATTTTTATTCCAAATTATATGAATTTTTTCATAGTATTCCAAATTTTTACATATTCGTATGTAATATAAAATAATTTTTAAAAATTTACATTTGGTTTAAAAAAGCGCGATTTGTGGATTTAATAAGGTGTGGATGCTGGCAATTTTTCTTTTGCTTTTTGTCCGCTCTAGGGATAGATTTTGTTTTAATTTTAAATGAATGGACTTTTGTTCGAGCAAGTGGGCGGCAGGAAAAGAGCTCAAAAAACATGACTCAACTAAGGAGGAAGATGTACACCCCAGGGAGCTGTTCGTTAGCAGATCTTTCACTGTATATCCACATCTCTCATTGCATTAGGTGCAGCAACATTATCGCTATCAGAAGGAGAAATCGGATCAGATGAATTCGCTGACATCGCAGCTGCTGCTGCTGGAGTCGCGGCTAAAGCGCAAACAGAAGCAGATCGCGAGCCTGTTGAGCCATCGCGAGCTGACCATACAGCGACAGCAGAAGATTATTGATACATTGTCGACCCGTCTGGTGGATCATGGACTTGAGAGCATTGAGGCGAGCTACGCCAATGAGCTAGACTCTCTGAACGACTCCGACTCGGCGGTGGTGCTGGAGGACATTGACTCGGACAGCAACATGACGCTGGGCACGCGCCGCAGAAGCAGTGGTGGCGGGTTGGGCGGTGTTCTGGGCAGCGATGGGATTACCATTGTGCGGTCCATATCCGATGCCATTGAGACAAATCTGAATAAGTATGGCGCCGCCAGGCGCAACAACTGCTATCTGCGTCGTCCGGACATACTGGAGACTGTGTACTCCGTGGAAGAGGATCCGGAGCCCACCACAGATGTGGCCGAAAAGCGCGACAAGTTCAAGAATCGATCGGACAAGGCGCTCAGCTCTAGCTCCACCGAGGGACAAATCGATGCAACGGCGCCCGCCTCATCGGGCACGCCCACTGCCCCGGAGAAAGCCAAAGACACGTGTATGGCAGCGGCCATGGCCGTGCCGCGACGCCAATTGGGCGCACTGAAACGCTCGCCCAGCCACGACGCGCCATGCACCACGCTGAGCGTCAAAGTGCCCCAGCTGCAGCCGCCCCCATCCGCAGATCAGCTCAACGGCAAATCGCAGGTGACCACCTATAATCGGGTCATGTCTAATCATCGGTCCGTGACCAAGCCGAAGGATGTCAAGTATAAGCGCATTAACAAGGCCAAGTCCAAGAGTCTCGAGGAGCTGCGAGGCCGGCTCAAGAATCTGGTAGAGCGACCTGGTCTCGATGCCGGATACACAGCCGGCATGATGCCGCAGACGGCCCAATCGTATGCGTGACACACGCCGCCGCCAGGCGACGTCGAGCAGCTCGTCGAGATGCTGCCCACGCCGCCAGAGGAAACAGCAGCTGCTGCCGCCAAGGCAAGTTTGTCAGCGGGAAACACGCCCGACCAGACGACCCCGCAGCGGCACAGCTGTCCCAAGCGTTCGCTGACGCTGCCTCGCATCCTGGTGCCGCAATCGATGCAAGGTGCATCGCATTCCGGCAGTGGAAGCAGCGGCGGGGGCGGCACTGGGCGTGGCGGTTTCTAGCAATTAAAGAAATTTTTCATACGCAATTGTGATAAAAAGTAAAATTGTTCTCTTGCATCTCTCTCGCGCACTCCCTCTCTCGCTCTTACTTACCATACACTGGTGCACTCAGAGAAAAACGTTAGAATCTTTGTCATAATATCAATTTCTTAAACTATGCATTATAATACATAATTTAAGAATTTCGTTTTTAATCGGATATACAGTACATTATCTAGATCATTGTAAACTTCCATCCAGAAAGTTTTTAAACAAACAAGAATTACTTGAACTATTAAGCACAAAACGACAATGTTTTTCTCTGAGTGTAGTCTCTTTTGTAACATTTGTTTCCTGCGCTGTTTCTCTGAGCTCAGACACACGGCATTTAATTTAATTTAGTTCTATGTTAATGTTTATGTTAAAGTGGCTCTTATATAATATATAATTTCACATGAATAAATACATTACAAAGCATACACAATTTCACTGTTTATTATTTATTTATGACACTTGCTCCACAAAAAGCGTATGAGAAATTTCCACATAATATGATAAAACTGTAGTTGAACTACAAAATCGAAAAGGGTCTGTGACACGTTTGCGTTTTTCGAGGACAATATGAGAAGCCGACAAGTTCAAAGTGAGTGTACACGGAGGTGGGTATTCAAACATGCTTAAGCATAATGAAAGGTATCTGGGTGAAATAATTAAGTAGGCTAGAAAATTTACATATATTAAATATGGCTTCACTTGTACATAAATTGGCAACAGCCAGCCGTTGCTGTCATAACTTCTTCGAAAAGGAAAAATAATACATATTAGGCAAATTAATTTTCAGTAAATATACATGTATTTAGTTCATAAAAAGAATTGCATAGCATCTTCGGGCAGCCGAAGATTAAATACCCTTGCAAAAGTATTATTTTATTGTGTTTTTATATAAACACGCAATAGCTTTACAATATATTAGTCCGATGATGATAATATGATCCAGCCAAGATAAGTCTGATTTGAAATATTATTTGAATTCCATACATAGCCTTTCTACAACAAAAAGGCGGATCTATGCCAGTTTTCATAACAATCTTTATCCTGCGAGAACTCTACTCTAATGCTTCGTAATTTATGTGATAAATTTCTTAAATCCTCTGCAAGGGTAAATGGGCAACACTTTTGTATAAAAAGTATATGAAATTAATTTTAACTTGCTTTATTGCTTTTATTACAATTTCTTAAATTCTCCTTTCTCATTGGCAAAGCTATAAAATTGACTTTTACTTAAATAAACTCTTAATTGTAAGCTCTACTCCATGGACTGTCTTCTAGATAACAGAATTTAAGTGCAAGAAAGCTGTACGTGCAACTAACTGAATAAAATAAATATATATGGAACATATATTTTCTTACTTCAATTTGCAGCTAACAATTTTTACAAATTTAAGAAGCTTAAATTAGTTTATAAAAAAATGTTAACTCATCTAATAGTATATAGCTAAATGTAGTATATATAGCCTAAGAAAAACTAATTAGATATCGAGAAATTTATTTTTGCGTTGAATTTTTGAAATTATTTTAAAAAATTGTTAAAAACTTTGAAGCCGTGTGCTTTAAAAAAGTTAAAACGTCATGTGTACCTTGCAGCGAATAAGCATATTCAATAATATATAACTATATATACTGTATGTATACTGTATGTGTATGTGTTTGGAGTTTTGTGTAAGTCATATATTATACGAACATAGATATATATATATGTATATATATATAAGAGCCTCTAATATCCATTAACACGGCTGCAACAAATCTCAACTAAAAACAACTCAAAGTACAATGCTCAAGCGGCGTCAATATCTAAGTATTTCTAAATAGACCGATATATGCATATATATTTATATATATATGGTATGTTATCCCAGTTTCAAACAACAACAAAAAGTACCTAAAACATTGTTATTGATGTTATACCTAAGATAAACCGTTTCACATATGCAATGGGTATTATGCAATCAATTGAACTACTCGTACAATATGCAACATCTTAAATACGTAATCTCAATGTCAGTTGAATTCGATTTAAGCAATCAAATCAATTCCCCGGTCAATTTAGCGCTCGTATTCAAATTGTTAGTCATTTTGTCAAGACGAGTACATAAACATAAGCATTTTGAATGTACTCAATGTACTCAGATGCGTAAAGCGTATTATTCTGAAAATAAGCTAAGTGTTTACAATTATTGTAAATCTATGGTTAAACAAAAAGATTGTAGTGGAATATATGTATTTATATAGCTTTAAGATTCGCGTAGGCTAACTACCCTAAATTATATCAGTTACAATATATATGTGTATTCATATTTATATGCCAAAGAATTCAGACGTTAGTATGGATAACTTTAAATAGGATTTAAATATGAATTTTGTATTGGATATCTTTTACGCTTGTTATATCACCTTAAACTTCTATTATTTTTCGCATTGCTGAAAAAGTAGCTTTTAATATTCCAACCTATTCTTTTTTATTCTCAGCAAAAGTTTGCAGTTAATGCATTTTTTGTTTGGAATTAATAATAGAATAAGAGTTATTCGTACAAAATATTCTCCACTTCTGTGCTAACTGATGAACAGATTGTAAAGTAAAATGTAACTTAAAGAAACCTAACATAATAATCGAAATAAGCAAGCCATTTGGTGCACAATTTATTCAATAACTTATATATTATAGTTAATAAGTGTATATAACATATATTGCATAAAATCATACGTATATATATAAATATATATACAAAAAAGCTGCACTAATTTCTTTTTCTAGTTAGCTTTATTAACTAATTACCTATGTATTTATGATAAGTATAACCCAAGTTTATAGCAAATACGTTTGAAATTTTGCTCATTTTACAAATTTGAATTATTATGTAAAATTTTCTTTCATTTCTGGCTTTGCTGAAGTGCTTAATAAAGCTAAACTTAACTAACACACTCACAATATATTCCTAATAATTGATGGGAAAGCGAAGCTGTTTTCGCTGTGCCGCAGATTAAATACACTTACTTACTTACCTACTTAAATAAAGGTCTGCGATATACTTTTATTTCCATTGGAGCTATATTTATACCCTGAACCCATTTTAAATGGTTAAAAAGGGTATAATGTTTATGTAACAGGCGGAAGAAAGCATCTCCGACCCCATAAAGTGTATATATTCTTGTTCAGCAACAATAGCTCAATCGGTTAAGCCATGTCCGTCTGTCCATATGTATGAACGCAAGGACATGAGACTTGAAATTAGCTCATCGAGTTTCTCACCGATAATCGATAACTTACTGCGTTTCCAAGCAATCGATAAAAATCAATATCGTAGTCCGTTTTTTTTCTGAGCAAATTGGGTAAATATTAAAAGCTAGAGTCAACAAACTTGATGTTGCTTCTAGAATAATATATGTATATCAAGTATCTGTCATTTTATACCTTCGCCACCTCCACGCAACCACCTCATAGCTATAAATCAAGTTAATAGACCAACTTATATTGCCAACCAATTTAAGCCACAATTTTAATGCAATTGACTTTTTGAGAATACACAAATTTTTGATAGTACAAGAAGATATACTGTAGACAATTTTATTAAGATCAGGGCCATTCCAGGGAATCGTTTTTTTGCCATTGGTATTGGAATAAAAGGATTGAGGGTATTCCCTAGTCGGGAGATGCTGACTAGAACTTACTTACTCTTGTTAATGCTCCTAGCTTGTTTTGACACCTTTTTGATATAGTGATTCGATCCGGTCAACTCCGATATAACTGAAACAAAAAGACTAACACGAAAGATTTCATACCACATACCATAAGAACACATTGACTGTTATTAGGGATCGCAAATATATATACTTTATGAAGTCTTCTTAATGGGATACGCATTTTGTTACAAAATAGATATACCTACTGTAAGGGTATAAAGACTGACACTGACTAAGCTTACTTCCCAGCTCCTCAGTTTCTCAGTGTCAAGCTTAAGGCAAACATGAACGGCAGCATCTCAATCTCTCCACTGGCTCTGCTTATCTGCGTTGGCCTTATCAGTCTGGTAAGTCGAGTCGCATTCCAAGTACTACCTAAATAATAAAACATTTCATTTTACAGAGCACAGGCGATGCAAGTGTGGGCAGCACAGTTTCCTTGACCGTCAAGGAGATTGAACGGCTCTACAATGAGGTGTTGCAGACAAGCTTGGATGACGCCCGGACAAAACTGAGCCATTTAAACGACAGCAATGCCATTGATAGGCAATATTTTGATGAGCTCGATAAGATTGTGGGCACTGATAGTTACTATAGCAGCGCATACTTTATATTTGCCCTGATCAATAGCTCTCTGTTCGATCAATCAGAACCTGACCAACTGCTGCTGCAGGTGCTGCCGAGCGAGAAGATCTGTATACGAAACTTCTTTGTCAAAGTTCGATTGGAACTGCTGAAATACTTTGCAACCAGACAACAGACCACAGTCGAACTAATACGAAATGTGACGCGCTGGCAACAGGCCACAGAAAATAGTATCGTGCTGGCCTTCTTGGAGTTTCCACAAAAACTGCAAGATCAGGTGCCAGAGCTACAGTTGATGGACTATATGCAGCAGGCAAGGGGCTTAGTAGAGGGCATTGCACAAGCATTACAAGCAACTCTACCACAATAACCACAGCATATAGGAAATGTTATGTTTGTATACTTTTTAACTACCTACACAGTTTTTATTCTATATCATAAAGTATATATGTGCGTGGTCAATAGCCGAATTGTTATAGCCAAGTTTGCCTGTGTTTGCTTTAATGATCAAACTTGACGTCGTTTCTTTTTGCTGCAATTGGACTTGGACAGATCGGACCTATATATCATATAACTTCCGTAGGCACAAACGGTCAAATGTAAAAAGCTTTTAGCTTAAAAAAAACTTGTTAAAAGCGATTTTCATTTACTTCCTAACATATTACTAATATATATATAATATATTGCTTCTATAAAAACAATCTGCCGGAAAGCAAATTTATATATAAAAGCATATAGAACAGAATTTTTAAAATGTTTCCTGTCTATTTAAATGTTAATACGTTGGGATAAGTCCGATTTACTGTTTTAATTCCCAGCTATTACATTTAAGTATAGCCCTGATCGTGTGAATCTTGTTGTCTATTATAGTAACATTTTATTACTTAACTATAGCTAAATACGGTAGATATGTTTTTTATATGAATTATTTTTAGACTCCCAGCTCTATTGGTTGACTAACTTATAGACCTCTGAATTTACCAGCCTCAGCATGCTGTCGTATTGCTGCAGCACTTGCCTTACCGCCCGCAATGTGGGTGTCAATAGCTGTTCCTCGTTTATCTTGCCCACGTAGTTAATCTCTAGGGTCTCCAGTTGAGCGCGCAGATCGCTATAGCCGCGCCTCAGGGATCGCAAATGGCGCTGCACCAGCCGCTGGCTGCAGCGACTGCCACGTGGGCGACACTGTTCCACGAATGCCATAAATTTCAGACCCAGTTGCTCCAGCGACTGGGCCCACAAGAGAATATCCTCATTAAATTGCTTCTCTATCAGCTGCTGCTCATCCTGATGTTCCTGTCTCAGTAGCTTACGCAACTCCTGAAAACTCTCCCGACCAGGCAGCGCAACTGACATCTATTAAAATGCTGAGAGATTAGTATTTATTAGATTTAAAAAGCATGTCATATAACATACGCCCAGCATCAGGAAACATATGATGAGAAATCGTACATTCAACATTTTATTCACTAAACGTTCTTATCACGCCAAGCGAATTGAATAAACTGATTATAGCCTGCCAGATCCCAGCGATCCCACGACTAATAGCCCGAACCGTACACAGCAACTGTTTGCGTCTATAAGAGGCAAGTGCAGCAGGAATAGAACAACACAGTATTCTAAAGCTGCAACCATGTGGCGTCTTGTGCTTCTCCTTTCGATCCTGCAGTCAGCGGTAAGCTAAGTGGATAATGTTCTAAAATAAAAAGCGTTGGGAACACATTCTATTGGGCAATTAGAATATGATTATTTAAAGTTGTGCGACTGGGTAATTTGATTATATTTTGAAAAAATATAATATTAAAATACCAAACAAGTGTCTAATGAGCTATTACTTTCCTGCTAAAAATCAGATAACAAAACAATAAATGAATATACATGCAATTGGCATTGATATATAATCGGATTATTAACAAACTTTTAAATCCCTATTATCTATTTATACATATATTCTCAAAATTTAAGCGCGCATCATCGTACGGGACAGAAAACCCCAACGTCACGAAAAAATCAACAAGTTTTGTTGCTATTTAAAGAAACAGCTTTGCTTTTGCGTAAACAACATTTTAAATTGCAAAACAAAACAAAAAATTGTGGGCTTACCGTCCGTATTTGTTTATCGGAAACTGAAAACCCAAAAAATTGAATTGCCCATGTAGACTTTCGCTGTCTCAAAATATCTGGTTTTGGTAAAACATACAAATTTCAATAATTCTTACATAGTACACCAATCCAATCACACCCTGCGAGAAGCTTCATACCGTGATGGTTCTGGAGATCACTGCCTTTACCAAGAAGGCCCTAAACGAGGGCGTTGAGTTGCTGCAGCGTGTTATTGATAATGCGGAACTGTTGGAATTAAGTGATATCGATCGAATTATGTTGGAACAGTTTGCAGAGTTTATAGAAAGTAGAAGGCATGCCGTTGATTCTGAAGAATTAAGTGATTTGCTAGAAGAGCTAGTGGAGCTGCTCGATCTGGAGGATGTTAGCCAGGAACTGGATGAATGTGAGAATCCTGTTGCCAAGCTATTGCGTCAATATGGCTTCGATACGTTTGAGAAAAATCTGGAGAAGCAGCTGCGTACCTTTATCGAACGAACTGAATACCATGTCGAGGCCTATCTAAAAAGGCAATACGCCAAGGACTCGGAGATGCCAACATGGTTTACTGAATTCCAAAAGGAAAACGATATTGAGCGCAAATATTTAATGTTTCTGGAAGTTTTGGAAAATATAGATTGTTAGGCTAGTTTTACCTTTTAAGTGTATCTCTGTAGTTTGCTTTCCACACACAGAAAAATTTAATATTTTATTTTAATGGTTATTAAAATGGTCTCTATTTTGTTCTTGAATGATTTTCAATTATATATGAATATTTTTTGAAACTAATTTAAGTACACGATACTTTAACAATGCATTCTAGTCTTGTTTTGGGGAATTTCTTGATAATACAAAAAGTCTTAAAATAAGAATTTCGCTCTCCGGCCTTAGTCGGATTTTCTGAACTTTTATAATTGACATCAAAACAAAATGTTTAGTTCATGCCTGCGGTAAATTAAGTATTCTACGTACTTAAATCAAAATATATGTTATTATTTACGTTTCATTCGCGATTATCATTTATGGATTTTGACCTTGTTGTTGTATTCAAAAATGCGGATCTGATTTATAATTCCTATCAGCTAGGCTATCAACTACGTATTAATCTGCGATTTATTTTTACTCTGAGTATTTCAATAATTTTAGAAAGGTTCGAAAAATTGAGTTCCTGGAAACTCTATTTTTAAAAATTTCGAGTAGTCATGCCATGTCCCAAGCGAGAGTCGAAAACACTTTGCTGAATTTGCGGCGGCTCCATGCCGTCTGAATTAAAGCTATACGATTCCGAGCGATAAAAATTATTGGAAGAGCCGCCACCGAAGCCAGGGCCGCTAAAGGTAGAGAATCCAGTATTCGTTGGTATAAACGGAGAATTCTATTTAAGAATTATATCGTATTTATATTGACACTGATTAACATAATGATGCAAGATACATACCGATTGAATGCTCAGAGGCAATGAACTAAAGCGTGACCCACTGTAATCACCGTCACCAAAACCCGAAGCACCAAAACCAGGTGGACCACTGATACGGCGGCCACCGACAAATGGTCCAACGTTCGAATTAAATGAAGTGTCTAAGTTTGTCTGTGAAAAAAAGATATTGATAATTTGTATTTAGTATACCCATTAGATAGAAAATATTGCTATCTCAGTCGGTCTATCTAAGAGACTAAAAGTTTTCTCTATTTAACTTTATCGGGTATTAACGATCGGACGACCTTGAAAAATACTGATGCTATGAAAGAAAAGATCTCAAGAGTTATAGGCTGTGGTGAGGCAAGAAGGAGAGCTGTATATACTTAGTCAAACAATATCAACTATGTTACTTTTGTTATTTTTACAGACAGCATACCGAGCGGAATTGACTGGAAGGGATGGGAATGCGTGTGGGATAATTGAAACGACGTGGATCGGGAAACCTCGGAGTGGTTGGCCACGTTTCATCTGCGTAATCTTCTTCCTGGGATGTGGGATCAGTCAAGACGCGCGCCTTTGCCTTTGTGTGCTGAAAAGACAAAGCATGTAAGTGGTATCTATAAGCATATACATTATCAGTACGTTAGGTTGTTATAAAATAGAACATACCACTGAGAAAGTGTCATCAAAGTTTGTACGCTGTGGTGCTGTTGTTGCATTCTGATCAGTATTTGAGGACTCCCCTAGGGGCTTGAACTGATCCGATGGAATGTTGCGTGTATCTCTTGTAATGCGTACCTTATGAACAAATCGAACAAGACCTTATAGAAATGTTTATCGATAAGCACACCAAAATGCTTACCCGCTCCACTGAAGCACTTTGGCAGAACTGAGAAGAACTCGGATATGGAAATAAACAGTCATAATTATTACTACAGCAGCTAACTTACCGCCAGGCCAATTAGCAGACAGCCGAGGAGGCTGATCACATGAAGCAACTGAAGCGACATTTCCGAAACGTCTCGATCTCTAAGCAGCTGGCAGCAATATGAGCAGCGCGATTAGGAGGCGGCTTCAGATTCTATGGAAATGACTAACACGTTTGACTGGAATCGCACGAGGTGTGAGAATCGGTTCCCGGGGTTATCGGCATTGCAGGCGGGCAAAACCACGACTTGTAATGAATGTACTTTAAATACTATATAGCACGCACGCACACTTCATAATGATACTTTTGTATGCATCTTCATTATACTTATAATACTCTGGCAGCTGGTAAGTATTGTGCTCCTCTATATTCTCGATCAAAGCATCAGAAGCCTCTGTCTGTTTGTTTATAAATATCTCTTGTAATTTTTTTTACTTACGGGATGGGCCTGACTGGATAAACAATATATAAATTTGTTTTTCGTTTTCGATATCTGGCCAAACTTTCCAATTAAGAGCCTTACAAGTATTTAATATTCGGCAAGAGTATTTAATATTCGGCAATGCGAAAGTAGACTTTTTACATTATTTTTAATTTATTGTACACGATTGCTTATAATCAAGCTAGTATTAAGAATTCTTATTTATTAGTTTGACTAGCCGCCGTAGCCGTAGGGAGAGCCGTAGCCGCGTGCCGGGCTTGCATAGGGGTAACTGGGCACCAGTGGACGACGTTGGATCACATAGACCGGCGGGTAACCATAGCTGGGATGCTCTGCAGGCAGCTTGGGGCCCTGCTCCGTTGACTGTTCCATGCTCTTGGGGGACTCATCCGACTCGGTGGACTTAGGTTTCTCAGCGCTGTCGCTGTCGCTGTTGCCGTAGACTATACCACGTGCAAAGCCTGGATACTGAGGTACACGTCCAGGTTGATGGAAAACCGGAGCACCATATGGAGAGTAGGGTGACCGCAGTATCGGGTAGCTGGGATAAGGATAGCCCTTATAGCTAGGTACGCCGGGCTCAGGCATAGTTGTGCTCTCCGAAGTGGCCTTGGGCTCAGGATGAGGATATGGATAAGGATAGGGATAGGGATATGGATGTGCATATGGATGTGGATAAGCCAGTGGATGCATAGGAGGCAAGCCTGCTTTCTTTTGAGGCTCAGTGGTTGTTGTTGTTGTTGTTGTCGTTGTGGGAGATGTGCTCTCAATGGGTTGAATTGTAGTCTCCGGTAGAGCAGTTCCTTTGTTAATAATCGCTAAGCTTTCATCCAATTTCTTGATTCCATCATCGGGACGTGCAGTTGCTTTCTCATCAAGCTCCAGCTCAGGCAGAGTCGTTGTTGTCGAGTGTGGCAAGTGCACATCGTCAAGGGTTTCCTCATCACTGTGGACCGCAGCGTCATTGGCCCAACTCTGCGTGCAGCTGAGCGCCAATAGCTGCGCAAAGGTAAGCTTCGGTCAGTCACTGTGCTCATAGAAGAAGTAGTAAGACTTACCTGGCTGATTAGCAATAGCTTGATATGCATATTAGATGATCTCAACCCAAGTGTTAGATGCCAACTGTTGGTCGGAACAGAGCTGGCGCTGGCTTTTTATAGTGCCCCCATCGCTCATCGCCCACAATTTTATTAAACAGAGGGCAGACCAGACAATTAACAGATTATTTCCAATCACACTGTGATTCAAAGAACCTGTATACATGTGTACCAGAACAGAATAAAAATACTGGTTAAACACTCGATAGCGTAATTGTGATTTGCAACTTTTCAATTAATAGATCAATTTTCTTTTCATTGACTAACGAATCGGCTTGAGAGCAACATCCCACACCATAGAGATATGTGGGTTCCGAATTGGTGTTGCACAGTGTAATTAATCTATATAGCAATAGATTTTAGTAAGACGTACAACGCAGGAAAAGGTATTCTGCCTATTGACGCTGGGAATTGCCCGTTCAGAACTAAGTATATCAAATCAGGAACCGCAGCATTGGCTGCGCCCATAAAATCAGGCAGCTGCTCGAATCAATATCGCATGTAATTATGCGTGGAACCCCAATGGGTCCGCTATAAAGGGCGAAAAACCCATCGGTGTTTGGTTTTTTCAAGGGCAACCAACAGAGCGTTAACATGTCCAGCATCAGGCCGGTAAGATGTCTCTACTTGCTGTAGGGTGTAGAACCGAAAGAATTTTCATTAAAACAGTCCACGGCTGTTGTCCTCGTTCTTTACAGCATGCCATGCTCGTGTTGCTGGCTGCAGTAGCTGCAGTGGACACAGAAGTAACATATCTCTTTCATCAATGGAAGGTGTCCACGGCACCACCGCGGCTTTCCACGAGGACGCCCCAAACGATATTACAGCCGCAAATTTCAGCACGAAACAAGCCGACTACGATTCAGGCAAGACCCCCAGCACCAGAAAATGTTAACGATAAAGAAGAAACAATGATCATTAAAGAGGGAGACAAAGTCGAAGCAAATGAGTATCAAGCGCACGAACAGGATTTAAATACAGAATCAACAACGACAGCTTACGTGCCTGAAACAAGTATCTTGCATGACATTCAGACCACACCAGCAAAACCGACTAACTCTACGACCGGAACCACCAAATTAATAGATCTGGCCACACTCGAACCCAAGGAAAATGGCGGCTATCCGTTTGCGAAGCCGGGAAAACACAAGCATGGTCTCCGGCATGTGAAGGCGCACGATGGCTTCCACAACCTGAAGCGCGAGCCTCAATGGGCGCACTGGAATGATAAATTTAAATCGACAGCAAAACCTTAGAATTACAATTAATAAAAACACCCTCTATACGGCTACTGCGGCTCGCAATTCTTGACTTTCTGGGCCCAAAACGAATGCAATTAGTTCGGGACAAGCTCAGATCTATGGGTGCGTAGAAGGTAGCAAAGAGGACCATGAGACTGCTGCACACGGTATGAGTTTCATAATATCAAGTGAGGGCCGAGCTATAACAAATAAAATAGCATCATAAAACAAATTAACGATATAAAATAATAATAATTAACAAGGTTGCGTGCATTGCCTGAGATCTTCATGCACGATTACAGCTATGACTTAATAAATGCAAACAAATAAACATTCTCGATATTCGAAGAAAAGTTTCCACGCCTTATACATACATAAATAATTACATTTATTAAATTATTTAATTTTCATAAGCCGGCAACACTTTGGCCTAACGCCAACAGGTGGCTTCTCGCCTTGAGCTTAGGCAAATAAACTTTCCTTTTCTTTCACTCTGGCACTATGCCTTAATAAATGCAAAGAAATATGTAACTTATTTAATAAGCATTTCCATGATTTCCTTGCTTAACATAAATTAATTTATAGATTTATATATTATTTATATGCTTGTTAAATTTCAGGAACAGCCGAAGCTTTGTTTTAATGCCAACAGGTGGCTCGTGGTGCTAAGCTGTAAAGCATAGTATAAGCTTTGGCCTTAAGGTGGCGCTTTGAGCTCTGTGTAACCGAGAAGCTTTAAGCTTTGGTTAGAGAGTGCATTGTTTTCATTAAGCGCAACCAACTTCACGTAGCTTCAAAATTTTCCGCGTATATAAATAGTGAAACATAGTGTGCAAAATATTCTTAATTAATACAACAATAAGAAACGCATTAGTTACGCGCAGTGCATTGCCAAGTTACCTGTCACCGGATCTAATCAAAGCTCGCTTTATCAGCGCAGCTCTCTCGTGTCACATGCGGCCGCACATTCGCCCCACGAAATCTAACTGTAAATGCGAAATGGTATAAGGCACAAAATGGTTTAAAGAAAAAGAATTATATGTTCAATTATGCAAATTAGATGCTGTTGCTCTGCCTATATGTCGTATTACATATATATGTGTGTGTGGACAGGATTGCAGCCAGGTGAGTTCTCTTCAAGTACTTGTTTTGTACATATCGAAAAAAGAACTGGGCAAGTGTTTTTGGGTTTGGCAGCGGCCATTATTTTAATTTCAACTATTATTTTGCTTGTGGCCACTTAAACATAGACGTCGCCTCACTTTTCGCTTAATTACTTTACAACATGGAATTGCATTCTACGGCGGACTGCGTTTAGTTCTTCCACTTGTTGTTCTCGTAGTCCCACTTGGAGGTTAAGCCGGTCACCGGATTGATCTCCAGATCGATCATGCGCTTCAGCTGCGCCTTCTGGTGCTCCTCATCAAATGTGATGGGCAACTCATCGTAGACTACAATAGCAATATATTATTAGGTACATCTCGCTAACTCCATATAGCCAGAGCCGCTTACCGAACAGGTTCATCAACACGGCAATCCAAATTGCCGCGGCGGTAAAGATCAGGCCCACGCCCAAATGCATCTTCCATTCGCCAGTGCTGGCTTGGACCTCGGCGATCGTCTGGCAGAAACTGGCACGGTAGAGGGCTTTGATCTCCTGTGGGCTCAGCTTCTTCCAGTCGCCCTGCTCCTTGGTGCGCAGCGCATTGATCTCATTGTTGGGCTCGCGGAAGCGCACAGCGGGCATGGGATAATCAACCCGATCTGCATAGCAGGCTGTGCCGTTCCAGCCAAAGCCCACGATTTCACGTTTGCCAATCTTGTCCAAGGTGTGAATCGAGGCAACGCTGCCCACCTGCGCATTGCGCGGCAACTGCGCGGCAAGCTGGCGGCGTAGAGCGTTGTTGATTAGTCTAAGAGCCATAGTTTCAGAGCTGCAACGATAGAGTTCACTTTTTTAACAATGGTTCATTTCGCGATAAGCTAGTGCATGAGGGGGCGCGGGGGTGACGCATACAAGGTTATGTAACAGCTGCACAGGCTACGTGCACGATAAAATGAATATTTAATCAGTTGCAGCCTCTCTGCAACTGCAGCTACTTATTAAATATTATTTATACTTTTAGTACAACGCCTCCAGCGCATATATTTGCTATTTTTCATTGCTCGCGTGCGCCTTGTGGCATCTGTTGTGTAATCGGACATTTTTTCACATTCACATTTTCAGAGGCTGTCCTCGGAAAATGTGTAGCCGTTGCTGCACGCAGCACTCAAAATTCTATTATTTTTTTACAAGCATTTGAAAATGATTCAAATAATCTGCGCAAAAGTTAACTTTTTTATAAACTATATCACAAATTACCAAATGTGTAGACGGGCACGGCTTGTTCTGGATAGAGTTGTTATCGGTTTGTTTGGAATAAGTTCATATGAACGAATCATTGGAATTGAACCATCGCCGGCGATATATATATTTATTGAGTGGAACGATAATATCGATATATTGTTAAAATCTAGCAAATGCGACATATCGCTGTCACGAATATACGCATTTCAGCGCACTTTTCAAATTGCGTTGAAATCGTGCTCGAATTGCTTTTAGCGAAATACTATCACACAACCTTTAAGTTTTGCTAACTTTGTTTAATATAAACACGCAAATATATGCATAACATATGCATACTTATGTTTTTTTTTTTTTCATAGAAAAGTCAAATTAGAGTAAAAGTATATTTGATCACTTACATGCGTCTTTTCTCAAATCGGTTAACATCGATTTGAAGTATATATTTGATGAATTCATTTTATAAAGTTAATGCTGAAAATTGATGCTATCTCAATTAAAGACAACCTGAGTTGATCGATTTTAAAATGATTTCCCTAAAAAATAATTATCTCGCAGCCGTTTAGCATGCATTAAATTAGTACTTTTCGTGTCTCAGCTGCGGGCGTTAGATGGCACACTTTTTGAAAATTATTTGTGTTGAATTTCATTTATATTTCAGCCCTATAGTATGCTTTAAATTTTGTAGTGCCAATTCTGTGCTGCTAAGCATTAGGTGATGCTCTTTCTCCCATAGATGGCTCTCATATGTTCGATTTACTTTACAACCCTGTTTGTATACTCCTAATAATTCCACTTGCTTCTGCTGCTGGCCATTAGATGGCGTCAGGCGGCTTTAAAATAGGGTTTTTCTAACGCCCGTTAAAGAAAAACATGATATTTATATAATTTATTATATGTAATTTAATTTATTTGATTTTGATTTGATTTCACATCTCATAAATGTACACAGTTAAATTAGACAGAGACAGGACATATAATTGCAATATTGTATTTTATATATAAATATGTATTTTAGCTGTTAGTTTTGGTTTGGTTTAGACGTCATGCTTGTTAATTTTGCTATTTGTTATTTTGGGGGATTGTTGGGGGCTTTACGTATTTGATTTCTTGCATTTATGCTGCTGCTGTGGTTAAGCGCTGTATGGCATAATAAATTGTTTAAATAGTTATCGTTTTTATAAATATGCAATATGTTTGTAACAATATTTAATAATAATTATGCAAATAATTAAACTAAAGTGAAAGCTTTTTCCTTTAAATGTACATCTTGTAAATATTGGTAGTAGCAAAAACTTAGGGCTACATTTACAATAGGTTTTTTTTTTCGTTTTGTTTTTGTTTATCGATATTTTGTTTGGGTATAAAATGTTGATACCATCGTAGAGTTTGTTACTTAAATGTAGTTAGGTTTGTTTTTGGTTTTCTATATACAAAAAGTGTGCTTTTTTTTTTCTTTCATTAGCAATTCTTTAACATTATATGTTGGGCTTTCTTTTCAATTTATTTTTTGTCTTTGGCCTGCGCTGAGCTAACGCAATTGGTTACCAGATTTTATGAATATAGATGCATGATTTCATTATTTATGGTTTACTGATGTTGGCAATTTGCATTTTTAACAAGTGCGCTAAAAAGTGCAATTCTACATAGGAGACAACGGAAGAGTGAGAGAGAAAGAGTAAGAGAATGATAATACACCCAGAGAAATATCGCTCTCAATTCTATTTTGAAAGAGTTAAAACTGATAGCGATTTGTTCTTTGTAATTGCTGAATATTCATGATTTCATTATGGACAGTAAATTATGCTTGATTTAATTAGCAACTATTTATAGTGCGAATTGGCAATCGAGTGTGCAAACAATTTTGCCAAGATTTCGAGTACTTAATTTACATATTTTCTGAGTGTAGGTTGATAGATTGTTGGTTTTGTGCAAATGGAAAACTCTTGAAACTGCTTTTGAACTCTTATGCGAAAGTAGTGCAAGAAATTTCCTTTGTGGCATGTGTGTGTGTGGGAGTGGGAGTGTGTGTGCGAGGGTGTGAAACAGTTTCCAAAGGCGCTCAGTTGCAACGCAAACAAAAAACAATTAATTTGGCATGTAAGAAGTTAAGTTCGGGAAAGGGACGCACTACTCGGCGCCCGCCGAGCTGTCTGGCGTTACATTAGAGTCCAGACTGGCACAGTCTGATTCCTGATCCTGGGTCTCCGAGTAGTTGGCTGCCTCCTGCAGACGCATCAGCATGTTTAGCTAAAGAATTGGAAGGAAATCAATACAGGTTTTTTAAAAGAGTTAAGCCAAAATAGTTACCAAGGGATCCTGTTGCTCGCCATTGCTGAGGGCCACGCCCTCCAGGCCGACATCCTCGGCATTTATCTGACGCAGCGGCGGCACCGAGTCCGGTCCATAGGGCCAGGGATAGGAGTTGCGTATGAAGGCCGAGGGATCGTTCCAGGCGCCACCGCGTCGCCCATAAAGCTGCACGCCCTCGCGCACCGCCTCGATCAGATAGGGCGACAGATGATAGTTCCAGATATCTGTGAACCACACCTGCGAATCCTTCAAGTCCAGCGGGCAGGAGAGGAACAGGCGCGGTCCAATGGTCACATCACTGGAGCTGTGCACCTCGAGAAAGCGATTGATGTGTTGCCAAACGGACGGCAGCCAGGCGAGTACCGCGGCAAGCTCGGACTGCGCATGCTGCGTCTGCAGCTCCAATTGGAACAGGCGACGGCGCAAAAAGCGACCGAGGAAGCCCTTCACAGGCTCCATGTGGTTGGCCGTGAGTACCTGTCAAGTGATCGAATGGATAAGGTTAATGGACCAGACCTGCCTTGCAAGGGATGAATAACTTACCCAGCGGAAGTTGTGATGCAGCTGCAGATTGGTTGTGTTGCAGGTGGCCTGCGACATGGTGCCAATGATGCAGGGCAGCTTGGTGGCCGGCCCGGCGCTGAGCAGACACGAGAAGACATCACCTAGTGCGGAGGCATGATGCAAATTGTCCAATATGATCACAGATGGCAGCTCCGAGACGCCATTCGCAATGGCCGCCTGCTCGGCAATGTGGCCCAAATATTGCCGCAGGTCCTTGGAGGTCTTGTGATCCACGCTGCAAACAAATGGGCAAACGGATTAGCAGAGCATTTGGCTAATGCGTGAAAGGAACTCACTTGAACGTGGCGATGGCCTCCGATGGGTTACCACGGCCCGCGCGTGCCACCAAAAACTCGGCTAGACGGCGCGCTAAATAGGATTTGCCCGTGCCGCTGGGGCCGCACAGGATCAAGCGTCGATGCTCCGTTAGCAAACTTATATATCGATGCACAATGCTGCGCGGAATGAGGCTATCGAAGGCCAGACTGCCGACACCCTGTAGGCATATATACAGGGTCTTCACATTGCCCACAATATAGCCGCAGGGCAGCAGCTCCGGGAAGCCCATTTCAGGGCCACGCTTCGCCTCGCCCAGATGATACGATGTAATCGAGTCTGTGTTGAGGCCCAAATTGGTGCCGGGATCAATGCGTGCCACATAATCCTTAAAGGACTTGCGCACAATATAGTCTAGATTCTGCCAGGTCGTTTTGCCCGAGATGTAGGTGCAGGCAATGATAAACTCATTCGTACCAGATGCCTGACGCTCGCCCTGCTGCAGTTGCTGCAGTTGCTGCCCCTGGCCCTGGCCCTGCTCTGCCTCGTGGCTGGCAATGATGGCGCCATTCGCATAGAAGTCGTCCAGTTCGAGCAGCTCCTCGCAGTACTTGGCAAACGATTCGGGCTGGCCCAAGTAGCAGGCAATCGCTATCTTCTTGCCGTCGCACACATCAGGCAGCTCCTCGACGGTGCTGGCCATATGCACCGGGCTGCCCAGCTGTGCCGCCTCCAGCGCAGGTGGCGGTGGCGTCAAATCGATGTGTGTGTTCGGACTGAGCGGCGCTGCGCCGGACGCTGCACCTGGCGCTGGCGGCGGCGGTGGCTCCGGCGCAGGTGCCGGCGGCATGCAATCCTCCTCCAGCTCTTCGGTTAGACGTGGCGGCAGCTCCATTGGTGGCCGTGCATTGCCGTCGGCCAGTGAGTAGCGGCGCGAGGCATCCGAGCCGCCGGCGCCACCGCCCAGCGAGCCATTCGGGCTGATGGCCTGGCCCAGGCTAGCCTCGGAGCCGGCAAGGGAGCGACTGGTGACCAGTTTCTGGAGACGTTCGTTATTCTGCTTGAGCGACATCATCTCGGCGCGCATCTTGTTCATCATGTCCTTGAGGCTCTCCAGCTGTGAGGCTGAGCTGAGCGCCTCCAAACGTATATCTGTGAGCACCAGATCCTTTTCGCGCAGCTGCTTCTTCAGATCCTCGACCACATGTTGATCCTCCTGCTCAATGGCATCGATGGGCTTGGCATTGTCTATCAGCGTCACCGTCTTTGCCGGACTGCTCTGCTTGCTGGACGCATTCGCTACGGGCAGCGGTGGTGCCGGCTGCGTGGCCAAGGCGGCCAAGCCCAGTGGTTCGCCGTGTCCGTGTCCGTGTCCATGTCCATGTCCATGTCCGTGTCCATTAGGCAGCGGCGTCTTGCTGGAGCTGTGCTCGTGCTGCTGCTGATGATGCTGTCCCACATGGCGACTTGTCTTCGAGATCTTGGCATTGCGCGAAAAGGCCTTGGTAAAACTGCTGCGCAGCCAGCCCTTCTTCTTGTTCGCCTTGTTCTTATCCTGCGCCGCCGAGCAGCCCGAGCTGATGGAGTTCAGCGAGCACATCGAATCCGTGCTGTGCTGTCGCTGCATGGCCACACCCCCACCCCCACCCACACCCACACCCAGGCCCAGGCCATTGCCGTTTGTATTGGCATTGGGATTTCCAGGTCGTGCATTGCCCACGGGCACTGGCGGCGGCTTCTGCTGCAGCATCAGCTCGTTCTGGCTCTGGCCCTGCGTCTGCACGCCCATGCTCTGCATGTGCGCGGTGGTCAGGCCCGCCTGGATGGACTGCTTGCGCAGCAGCTCAATCGTCTGCCGCATGTCTGTCAGCTCCCCATCCTTGCGCTCCGCCGTCGCCGTCAGCTGCTGCAGGCGATTGGTCATGTTGGTTAACGATTGCTCGAACGCAGAAACTACATGCGCCTGCAAAATAGAGGGTAGAAGGCAACACGGTGAAAAAAACTTCTTGATTTATAACAAATACATAGTTTGACCTTAAAATTTAAGCCAAGCTCGACTTGAAGAAATAAGTGTGAAGAGTTAAAGGATTTTCGCGCTTGCTTATAAGTTAATAGTAATTCATAATTGGGCTACTGAACAACTTTGATCTAATATGAGTTGGGTTTGAACCGTCAATTTCTCATTTGACAAAGGCAGACAGAAGGAAACATCAGCTTTTTGGTGAATCGCTGCAGCGATTTTGGCATTCATTTTAATACGAAAAGTTCAAAAAAGTGCTTTAAATTTAATTCGGAAATTGGTTTCAAGCGAGTAAATAAGCTGGTGGTGGCGGGAGGGAGGGGGGGGGGGGCATGGAGTACCTGCTGCATCAATAATTTATCATCACAATTGAGTGGCCCGTTCCCCGCCACGCCCCCTGCCAAGTACTATGCAACCCGCACGTCACAATCGTGCACGGCATTTTAAGCCCTGCTTGATATGCAAGTGGTTCCTCAACTGGTGTCTGGTGGCCTGGACAGAGATGACTCATGACTCATGACTCCTCATGCCTGAGCCTCTAAGCGCAGCTTTAAAAACTTCTTTCAAAACTTGCCTCACAGCACAGACTGTCCAGACACCTGCGTCATAAACAAGCATTAGAACCTGTGCCCAGCTCCAGGCAAGTTCATGGTTGGATTTTTTATGATGCGACGTGACCGGCGCGCTCTCCATGGCTGCCGCTTGCCGATGGGTCATTGGGAGCGCTGGCGGCACTCATTTTGTCAACGAGCTGCTGCATTTGTGAGGGCATTAATTCTCGCAGAGAGAAACATAGGAAAGTTTAGAGCAGAGCAGGCGAATAACTGTTTCAAGTTAATGAGCGCTATTAAAGTATAAAACAAGTACGAAGTTAGCAGTCGACTGCACAATACTCTCTCGTTTCCTCTCCCTCTCTCTGAATAATAGGGGCAGCGACTCTCAAACTGTAATCCCAAGTCAATAAAGCAGTTTATATGAGTAAATATGAAGGTTTGGCATCTCCAGGTGCTATAGATTGTGCTTATACGAGCAAATAGAAGGTCACTTTGACTTGTGACGAGCCAATATACTTGTTATTAACTTTGCAAGCAGAGCATAGTCAAGTTAGATGTATATATGTGTTAATATGACTCAGCGCGGAAGTTGTAATTGCACTTTGCTGTCCAGACGTGAGGGCATGCCAAGGGTAGGCAAAAGAAAAAAAAAGACCGGAAGCAGCAGCAGCAGCAGCTAATGCTGAAGTGGCTTCAATGGGCAACGAATGAATGGGCGAATTAGGTCTTGAGTTGGGAAAGTGAATGATGAAGTCAACTAATGCCAATGGGTTGCATCTGCAGTTGAACTTATTAAGTAATTGAGTTGGGGAACAAGCCAACTGCCCTTTATCATTTTCTCGCATTGTCATTTGATATTGGAAATATTATTTATGGAAATTACTTAAGTATCCCAATTAAAGTACTTAGAATGCTTTCTAGCAAGATTAAGTTGAAAGATTACCTAATAGTTGCTTACTGCTTATTTCAAAATAGAAATTTATTTTGTGTGTTGCTACTCCCTCTTAGCATATGCCAATAAGCTGTAAGGAATGCTCAGGTAATTCTGTTAATTAACGCAACATTAGCATTGGCGTGCGGTTAGTTCATAGGAAATCAATAATAATACATGATGCATGGATGATATCATCGCACAGTTGTCTTTTGACTATCTATAGTCGGTCACGCCCCGTTTTAATTAAATGGGAGGAATTTGAATTTTTGTCGTAAGCCAAGTAAAGCTGACTAAACGCTATCGCAGTTAGTTATTAACCGACTCGTAACGCTCGTATCTCTCGTATCTCCCCTACCGTCTTACGTGCCTATGTTTCGTTTATTGATAAGCATCTAACACGTTTCACATTTTAATTTGCGTGCCGCTTATGCAAATTAAGTCAAGTCGACACGCTCAACAACAGCAACAACTGCGACAACAACCACAATTGGCCGGCTTTAAAATGGAAAAATAGGTTTGAAATAAAGCAAAACAAAATATTGGCCACTTCTAGAGCTCAACTTGTCCACAGAGTTCAAGGACGGCACTTGAATTGCCCGTTCCGCTGAGGCTGAGTTCATTTTTAAACGTTTTTATTTTGCTGCTGTTTTTACTAAAGTCTCGCCCCACGCCCCCACGCCTAGCTTCAAAACAGATCTATCTTGATAAATTGTTTGATATCTGACTTTAATTGCTTTTGCACAAGTTTCGGCACGAATTGGCACTCCAAATTTCTATAAAACTCAATATTATAAGGTATATGTAAATATATATATCGGGCTCAGGGCAGTAGGTGCTTAGCTTTAAAATGTAAAGCACCTCATTTGTGGTCTCACGTGTTACGCATACGCACCGTAATCAATTTTTATGTTTCACCTGAATACGTGAGGCGGCTTCACAAATGTGGCACCACGAAATAATGTGAAAAGTTGGCAAGTTGCTTTTGTGGCATGTGGCAACTCCCTGAAAAGGGTTATCTAGGATCTTGGGTTTTGGGTGTTAGGAAGCGAGAACATGGTTTTCTAATGTGGGGCTTAAGCGACTAAGCAAGGGCGAAAATAAAAAGGTTGTTTGGAGCACGTTCTGCAGAGCGTAAGATATAATTTAATTAGTCTGGCAACGTCAGCGCAGTCTAACGCCAAAATGTTTCGCATGCTAATTATGTTGATGATAATGTAAATGTAAACTGAGTTATAGAGCAGCGGGTAGCGCTGATTGCGTTTAATATTCAAGAGTATTCAAGAGCCAAAACTTTTTTATTAACTGGCAAACTATTCAACTTTCTGGCAACTCTGACAAATATTTCATAGAAAATGCAAGCTGCAAAGTGAAAAACCAAATTGCTGAAACAAGAGAAACGAATGCAATTGACATTGAAAAGCGACAATCAGAAGGACATCAAATGAACATCAAACAACAGCAGCAGCAACATTTAGAACAACAACAACAGCTACAAGGGAGAGAGAGAGCAACAATATATTTGCAATTGTTGCATGCTGCCCCCAACTCTTAAAGTAGCTCTCAAACTGTATGGCTTTGGCCAAATGTCTGCAATGTTGCTATTGCTGCTAATGTTGCAGCTGTAGTTGCAGTTGCTGCTGCTGCTGCTGCTGTTGTTGTTGTTGTTGCTGCTGCTGCACTTCATTAGCACAGCGACGGCAACGGAGCGTAAAGAAACGCGTTACGCCTCGACGGGCAATGTTAGCGAAAAGGGAGAGGGTGAGTGAGAGAGAAAGGCAGAGACAGACAGACAGAGAGAGAGAGAGAGGGAGGGATAGAGCCAGCGAGTGAATGGCATATGGAAAGTCGGTTGTGTAGGGCTCCGTATGCTAAACAACTTTAGCAGCAACATCAGCAATAACAGCAGCAGCAACAGCAGCAACAAAAGTTGCCAACTTTAATTCGACTGTCAGAGTTGCTGGCGCGTGAGATGTTGCCGTTGTTGTTATTGTTGTTGTTGTTACTATTGTTGCTGCTGCCTAATTTATTGCTTGCAATTTGCAGACAGCACAGCACAAAGTTCAAGTTCAATGGCAGCAGCAACCAAAGCAACAGCCGCAGCAGCAGCAACAACTACTTGGCAGCTTGGTTTTAGTTTTTGGTCAGCAACTTTGCTGAACCAATTTTAACAAGTTGCCATTGCTGATAGCCTGCGTATCAGCTTTAGATAACAGTCAACTATTGATAAGGCAGCGGCCTTCGATTAGCTGCATAGTTAGTGTCTAGTTGCTTAAGTAGGTCGCCGGCAACAACGACAGCAACTGTTTCATGTTGCTGGCGTGCATAAATCATGGTGTTGTCGCTGCGGCAGCGACAACCACTTGACAATTGCTGTTGCAGACATCGGGCACACATGTGTTGCCTCTGGCAGCAGCATGCCACGTAGGCGTGTGCACTTTGACCTTTTCAAATGATTTATGCCCCGGCAACAGCAACTGCAGCAGCAATTGCAACTGCATCTACACTTGACATTTGTTTGGCCGAGATGCTGCGAAGGAAGTGTAACAGTTGTCATTGCTTTGCGATTTATTATGCAGGCTGGTGGGGGGCGTGGCATTGGAAATTTGCCAAGCATTGCACAGTGAAAGTTTGACAGCCACTGGCAGGCATCAAGTGCGGGCGTTTGTCTAATTAATGATTAATGAAGGTCGCAGGTTCAAGCCAGCTGCCAATTTTCAACTTTTTTCTTCTGGTTTTTCAGCTGCTTCAAGTCGCAAAATGCGCAGAGGTCTAATCAATTTGACCCTGTGCCAAAGATAAACACATCTTCCTAGTTAAAATGATTGATTTCTGCTGCGAATTATGACTGAAAATTAAAAAGCAAGCTTTTCAGAGACGGCCCAAGCTAATGGAATGAATAGTTTTCTTGAAGTATGCAGCATGGGGTAGATAAGTGCAGGCACTTAATCTAAAAATATATATAAATGTTTTTCATAACGCAATATATAATCGCGAGTGGCCACTGCATTAGATAAGATAAGATATTTGCGGGCGTTAGTTCTGGTAATTACACTTTCCAATCTTATCGCCTTCACAGTAATCGCCAGTGCTAGCAGAAGAGAGTGTCCACGGTTGAGACTCTTTTGATATAGATCTTAAGTTGAAATCAAATATTGTGCTCAAAAAAGTTTCGGCAGACTTTTAATTAATATTTCTCGAAAGGTTTCACATATCTTTATTTCTGAATTTCTCATTGATTTCCTTTGCCATTTGCCGATCAGTTTATTTTGCATTTTATTTGGCAACGCCTCAAAAACTGTTTGCCTTTGGCCAGGTTATCCTGATCACAACACAGTTGCCGCCACATAATAAACTGATTAACAAACTAATCCAATGCGATTGTTTACGACTGAGATGACTGTATCCAAAGCTGAACTCAGCCAGAGATGCGACATGCGCATCGTTTCCACTTGGACGAGCTACGACTGGGCAGCCAGAGCCGTGAGCAGCGGCAGAAATAGCAAATCATCATTAAGATCTTGTCTGAAGGAGAGAGAGGGAGCGAAAGACGTAGGCAGAGGGGCAGCTGGCAGTTGGATTATGCTCGAAGTGAGAGAAACGGCACCACAGACACGCCGGACCCACACGGGACCACAGTCACAGGCACAGGCACAGGCACAGTCTTTGATCTTGAGCCGCCTCAGAGATCGAACTCTGGACAGTGGCTGGTGAAAGACAAAGATTGTAGTTTCCATTATTTGCACAAGACTTCTCTGTATAGCTGCAAAGCTTCTCAATTCTCGTTTCTCAGCGATTGCGCTTTGCAATTTCGCGGCATTGCACAAATTTGTGGCTTAGATAAATTTGCCATTTGGCTAATGGCCAGAACAACTACTTACGATACCCCCAAGTGTGCTTGAAATTGATCTGAGTTCGGTCACTTACCTGCAATGGGAAGAAAAGGAAAGAGATTGTCAATTTTAACTGCATTTTACAGAATATGTAGACATTAATTATAAATTACTCGCGGGTTTTTAAGGATTGGTCTTGCACAACAGATACGATAACAGGCAGCCCAAATAGATAATTCAAGCTAAGAATTTGTACAGGCTGCATCGATAAATATATTATGCAAGCAAACGAAATATTTACAACGAAAATGGAAGTTTTCATTTCATTTCCAATTGAGTTTTGTACTCAAAGCAAATGTTTTTAGTTTCTTCAATCGTAAAATTCTCATATTTGTGCATTTAGCTCTAATATCCCCACCACTTGACATGAAACCCATTTATAAGACCCTCCAGTCATTAATTTACAATCGCTTAAGATCCCCATTTGAGTCAATTTCCCCCAAAGACAACAACTTGAGCATTTCCACTTGTAAATCTCCTACTTACAGCCCAGTTCCCCTTTCCATACTCCCCCTTCCCACTCCGCGTCCCTTCTGGAATGAGTTGTCTTTTTTTCTTAAAGAGCGACACGATCAATGTCCATTGAAGTGTGCATTGTTCTGTTTTCTTTTTTTAATTTTATTTTTTTTTTTTTTTTGGTGTTTCATTGATTATTCGATTTCAAGACCGGAAGCCACAAAAGACACACGTTCAGGATTACAACAAAAAGTAATCCATATGCGATTGTGTGTGTGTTAAAAATAAAACTCATGGAGAAGCAGAAACCTCAGACATCACATTTCAGACATCAGACCTCAGACCTCAGACCTTAGTCCAGCAACCAGTTTTTAATGCTTTGATTTTTATACCCTTACGGAGAGTATTCCAATATTCTTACGAAACGTGCTAAGCATTTCAAAAAGCACTGATATATATGTGTATCAGATCAGATAGATATATCTATATCACATACATTTGTCATACAAGATAAAATATATAACCAAAGGAACTTCGCAGCCAAGGGGTGTTAAGCTTCGGTATTTAATCCTGTCGAGTGTATTCAATTTTCGGCGTGCTGCTTTAAATATTTACAAACTTCGATTCGACAAGGCAGAGTAAAAACTTTATTCGTCTTTTTTATCGGAAGGGCAGTCGCAGGTCTTCAGTTTCATCTTCAGCGTTCTGTTTGTCCATTGTTGTTTGTTGTTTGTTTTGATTCTGGTTTTGTTGTCGAGTTTGTTTGAGTTTGCTTTCGCTGCCAGCGCTGATTTCCTTGGGGAGACTGTCAAACAGACGCGCTCGTCCTGCGACCTGTGGACCCTCTGAACAGCTTCATCAGCGTCGAAGTCTTTGTCTTTGTCTTTTTTCTCTCTATTAAAAGTGCGCACCGAAACGAGTTTCAGCTGCACTGCAAACAGGTTTTCTCCTCTGCTGGCTTTCGGTTTATTTATTTACGTTTTTTTTATTTTTCGGCTTAGACACCTGTGACTCTTTGTGAACCGAGGCCTGGCCTGGCTTGTTCAAATAAATATTTATGAATTAAGCAGATACAAATTGTATTTGTCATAAATTAAAGGCTGCCACTGCAGCCAAGAATTTAGAAACCATGTTAAAAAACCAAAAACCCCAAATAGCACAAGCAAAAAAAGATACCAAATAACTGCGCATAGATCAGGTGTTGCTGTCATGTTGCCTTTGACAAAAAACAAGCCGCCAAAACTCAAGAAAGAGCCAGCCAGGCAGTAAGTCATTCAGTAAGTCAGTCAGTCATTCAGTCAGTTAGTCATTGAGTGAGCGCTCAGCGGGCTGCCTTGTGGCAATTATAACGAGTATCTATCAGATACAAATAATGCATATAAGTATATATATATATACATACATGTATGTAAGTTGCATGTGCAGACAGGCCGTCGGTCGGTCGGGCAGCCGCCTGGCTGTCACTATACACAATCGCCACATCTCGTTTATCAGAAATTGTTTTTAATAAGCGATGCCAAAAGATAAAAACTAACGAGTTACTTAAGCGCAGTCGAGCTCTGCAGCAACCCATTCATTGGCTTGCCAATTTGTTGGCATTTGTCGGCGTTATTTACAGTTTTTTTAAAATTTTGTTTATTAATTATGCATGAGACGTTTGCGATACAGTCGGGCTACTGCTAAAAAACTAGAGCAGCAGCCTTGCATTAGAACAAGCGAAAAAGAAGAGCTTGGAATATACTAAAAGAGTGCTCAAGTTGACAGATGTACGCGATTGCAATAAATTGTTGCTATATGGCACTAATTGCGAGTTTAAGGTGAACGTGTTAATTATTTTAAAATTATTTTATAAAAGGCAACTGAGTTTGTAAAGTTGATTGTATTTAAACAAAAAACTGTTGCAACTAAGAGTAAGAGTTAATGTCTGACTAACTCGCATACATATTCACTTATTAGTCTTCTGTTTATTATCTTCCACATGTCTATTTCTGTTAAATAACAATGACTACAAGGCATAGCGATTCGTTTTGATTCATTTGCAAAATTTGACATTCAATAAATTTGATAAATTGACAGTCAAGTTTTTACCTATGTAATACAATTAATAGAGCTATATTGCGTTTGATTGATCAATCAAAATCACATCAATCAGCTTTTGATGATGGCATTCTCTTCGGCTATTGCCAAATATGTTAATTTCGTATGGAATGCTATCAATTAAAGGCAATCAGCATTTGACATTCAACTTGATCTAATTGAACCAGTGAACCGGCTGTGGTCAGCCATTCAGTGGGGCACAGTGCTGCTCAAACTGTAATTATGATCGTGCCACTCGTGATCGTTTCACACGCCCGCCAACAATCTGGCCAAGCTATCAAACTACCAATTTCACTTTTCATTTAAAGCCTCGCCGCTTCTCGTCTCGAGTTACCAACTTAAATTGGCAGCTGTTGAGCTCCTCGGCGCCTCGGCTGCTCATAAATAAACATGAAAAACGCTTTAAAACTCGCTGCCATTTGCTAAGCCAAAAAAAAAGATCTATAAAAACCCGATTTAAAAAAGCGCCAAATCGGAAAAAATAAATATATTAAATGTACTCGACAAGCGGCTTATCTGGCAACTTTATTTGCTTTGAAAGTTGACATTGATTGGACCCGCAATTGCCGCATTTGTGCATGGACTTGTGGGCCAAAAAAAGATTCCTCTTGTGATTGTTTACAAACTTGACTTCAAACATGTTTTCTATATATAACTGACTTCTCTGCCATTCTAGGACTGCTAGACTGCTGCTGCAAGAAATAATTCATTCTATATGCGAAGAACGACGAATCCATCTCTGAATGGAGTTATCTTTTGCATTGACTGCACCAGCGCTACATTAGGCTGTTTGCTCTGTTACCAGGTAAGAGTATAAGTTCAAGGTCTTTCAGTTAATTTCACATTATCCTACAATTTCAGGCGATTTTTGGACAAATTTGCCCTTTTGCCGCGGCTCAGTTGGCTTTCACTCGTCTCCTTAGCGTGGCCAAAGAATCTACTAACAATGGCCAACTCCCGTCGTTAATGAGGCCACGGGCTCTGAGCTACTTTGCACTCAATACAAAAGCGCTATATTAAGCCGTTCGCTCTGTTACCAGGTAAGAGCATAAATTAAAGGTCTTTCAGTTCATATTACAATATCCAACCATTTCAGTTAACTTAAGCGTGGATGGGGTTGATGTTCTAACTGCGGATGTATTGCTCTCCTTCCCGTGATTCCGCAGCCTGCAGCCTGCTTGCGCATCTTCGCCCCCTTGCCCTGGTCAAAGGACTCGCTGAGAAGGCCAACTCCCACTCACGGTGAGGCCACGGGCTCCGAACTACTTTAAAAGCACCTCATCAGCTTGTTCGCTGTTTTACCAGGTAAGAGCATAAGTTGAAGGTATTTTAGTTCATTTTACATTTTGCTACTTTTTCAGGCGAACAACACCGCCAACTTGGCGAGATGGTTTTGGTATTTTAACTGCGCATGTATTGCACTCCGCCGACAATGGCCAGCTCCCAATAACCCTCAATGCAGATCGATTCAGTTGCTCCTAACAAGCCCATTGCATTGAGAATTTTCAAAACCCATAAGGATATGATAGAGCTATGCTTATTTTTATAAAAGGACAATCTCTAAATTTCAAGGACTATCGTGATTTCCTTTGGCGAATCCATAATCCTCATCCGTGCATATAAGTATAAGTTTAGAAATACTAGAAAGTCCTTCGAATAGCCAAGATAAAAGGACATTTGTCTGTAGAGAATATATGATGTATTTGGCCCTATCCTTGCGAATCCTGAAAAGTTGTATGTAGAACAACTTGTATGGACTAGGGCTATCAACTAGCCAAAGGACATCAAAATCGTTGTTGTAGTTTTCAAGATATTAAGGATTTTGTTTTCAGTCTACTTTCTAGCGCATCGGCACAAATATTACCAAGTCCATGATTCTTAGACAAGCCTATAATATTTAAATGCAGATCGATGCAGTGGGTCTCCACGATCAAAACGCAACATGTCCTTTAAAAATCTGAGGGAATATGGTCGAGTTATAGCTATTTTTCTAAAAAGGATACTTTTACAGAACTGGCCATATTTTGGGCATTTCAAGGACTTTCGGCAAGTCCTTTGACCATCAGAATGTCCTTGTTTTGCCGATTAAGAATATATAATGAAAAGGACGTAGGTCCTTTAATCACTAAGATATAAGGACATATATTTTGTATTTTAAAATTGCTATATCTCAGCCGAATCCTTGCGGATCCTGACAAATCCTGTGTTAAACAAATGGTATGAACTAGGACTACAAACTGGCCAAAGGACATACAAATCGTCCTCGTGGTTTCCGATATACGGCCACTTTTCTAAAAAGGACATTCTTTTTATGGCCATATCCTGGCCAAATCCGGCAGGATATCCGAACGAAATACTTTTTTGAACTCGTGGGAAGCAATACTATCGATTGGCATTCAAGGATTTCCAGGATTCGACAAAAAATTTCACTAAAATTTTTTATAGGGGTTTAGTCAGGAAATGGCCAAAAATTGAAAAAATCGGAACTAACTTCGCCATTTGAAGGACTATCGGGATGTCCTTTGGACAGTAGATAGCCCTCATCATCCCATTTACGAATATGCAACCCAAAGGACGAAAGTCCTTCAGACAAAAATGTTTTAAGGACAAATTTATAAACCAAAAATAGCTTATAACTCGGCCATATCCTGGCGTATCCTGGCGAGTCATGTGTCAAAAAAATTGTATTGACTAGGACTACCATCTGGCCAAAGGACATCAAGATTGTCCTTCTAGTTTCAGAGATATCGCTATTTTACTGTAATTGTATGAATTCGGGCAATTTTCCTTGCGGCCAGCGACTGAAAATTTACCAAGTCCAGGATTCTTAGATGACCCCATAATGTTTTAATGCAGTTCGATGGAGTATGTCTCCACGATCCTAACGCACCGTGTCCTTTGAAAATCTGCAAGGATATGGCCGAGTTATGGCTATTTATATCCTCTAAATGACCTTATATGTGTCGTGACAATTTTAATGTAAATGTGTCTTTTATCTTTCCAGATTGAAGGATTTAAGGACTCTAATCAATTCTAAGGATTTCTACGAATCCAACAAGGCTACTCCTGCCAGAATCGGGCTTATATTAAGCTAGATATAGTCATTTTAACATAAAATCGAAAATACATGTAAAAACAACAAATTTGTTAATTTAAACAATAATAAATAATTAATTTATAATTATTTAACAAATTCCTGTTTTTATTTACTTCCAAAGTATAAGGGATTGCAAAAAATTCAAAAATTAACGGTCGTTAAAAATCTGTCCGTTGGTTGCCGAGATTTTTCTAAAATTCAGCCGAAGTACCAGGCGAACATAATTGACCAGAAGGTAGCAAAAAAATTTCAGCGGTTGAAAATTTTCATTGCATACCCGAAAGGGGCTCGCTCGTCGCCGGCTGGGTCGCAAGATTTGTACTAAAAATTGACTGAAATACCAGGCGAACATAAATGCCCAGCAGGTAGACGAAATCTTCGAAAAAAAAATTCATTGCATACCCGCACGGGGCGGAAATTTAACTCATTTAAAATGAGTTATGTTAAGTAACAGATCATGTTAAATGAGTGCTGTAAGGACGGGTATTTAGCAGAAGCTGCAGCTGCAGCAATGTACAGGGGCTGCTGAAAGAAATAGCATACATGTTTTTGGACCATTTTGGTGCAAATTTTGCAGGACTCTGCGTTTTTAGGTTCCCAAGGACTATATCAATGGTATGGTATAACCAAGGATATGATAGTCAACTAAGAACCATTTAGGGGCATAGCTGTTTCTGGGGGCGGCTAAAAGAAAAATCATACATATTTCTTGACCATATTCTTGCGCATTTTGCTAGAATCGGGTCCTTTAGGTTTACCAGGACTATATCTATGGTATGGTATGACCAAGGATATAAATGTCAACTGGGAACCAACGAGCGGGAGTGGCTGCTGGGAAAGGAAGAAAAATCCGCCATAAATACAGCGTAGTGCAACCTCCAAATGTTAGGAGAGCATAATCCGCAGTTGGTATTTGTCTTCCTTTTAATTTGACTCAGACTAAATGTGCAAAGGCAGCTCCCAACAGAGTAGAATGGAATGATCTTGCCATCTCGCTTTGCCTGTTACATATGTATATATGTGCGCAATGGCACCTCGGCGAATTAACTGTAACTCTCCTTTTGTTCTGATATTTATGCACATTCGCTAATCTGTTTCGCTCGCTTGCATTGACGTGGTTGTTGCAAAAAAAATAATAAGAGAAAAGCTCCGAAATAGTGATGCCTGGACAGCGTCGATTTTACATGGAAGATTTGGCTGAAAAATATAAAATCGGCCATAACTTAGCCATTTAATTCGAATAAATGCTATTAGCTCGGTTAAATAAAGTCCGATCTTGGAAAGATATATATTTCTGGAGTCGTAAGAGTTTATAGAACTGATTGATATCAAACAATTTTGATTTCAGAAGTGACACACTTTTGCCTTTTTTGTTTAAAATTAAGACTGCAATTTTTTGGTGGCAATCAAAGGTCGTGATAAGCAAATATAATATATATATATATATATATATATATATATATATATATATATATATATATAATATATTTATAACATAATAAGCTTTTCTATAGCTGTATTTCTTGAGTGTGACATTATATTTATAAAAATATACCTTGCTTGGCTTTAATTATGACGTTGGCAGCCACCTCTTGATTTTAAAGGAGACTAAAGTGCCATCTCTATTTACTAGGCGAACATAATCGCCAGCTGTTGATTGCTTCGATCTGCAAATGCAAATGCCGTTTACTTTGACTAGGAAAGTGCACTCGCAGATAAGGCGTAAAACTGAAAGACGCGTGCAGCACGATAGAATGCCATCTCTTTCACGCTGCTAGCAATTTGCTTGCCTGCGTTAAGTATGTACAAAAGTGCGCAATGCCTGCTTGGTGGGCAAAACTGTAATTCTCCCTTTGTTATGGTACTTATGCACATCTCTCAATCTATTCCGCTCGCTTGTTTTTATTGTAATAAAATGAGTAGAAAAGAGTTGTCCACTAGGGACGGCAAATTTACGTGAGCTTTAATAACACTCTGTCATAGTTCTCGCCTTTTGTATAGTGCGCAATCTAACTTATTTGTGCAGTGCTTAAAATAATGTTGACTGCCTCTTCTCAACTTTGGTCATTTATAAGAAATGGGATATTTAATTGCAATCGACGTCGCATAAGGGTAATTTATCTAGAAGCAGTCTTAACTTATATTATATGCAGCGTAATTTATGCCTTTCTATATATATGTAATTAAATAGTAGTGTATTTTATGTATTTTTATAACATTGATCAATAAACTATAAATTCGTACTTTCATTTAAACTACATCAGCAAGTTTGAACTAAGACTTTAATCATGACGATGGCAGGCGCCGACACGCGTCCGAGTTAATGTAAAGGCCATCTCTATATACCAGGCGCACATAGGCAAAGGCTGTTCTTTGCTTTGATCTGCAAAAGTCTTTACTTTGACTAAGAACGCGTGTGCACACGGAGAGCGTGAACTTGAGAGAGCGGTTTGCTCTGCCGCTCTGAGCACATGTGAATGGATACACACGTGCACAAAGCAGCATTAAGTGTCGTTGAGTCGAAGACAACGACTCAATGCATACATACATATGTATGCATGTGTGTGCTATAGCGCTTTGCTGAAAAACTGTAATTACACCCTGCACGCATTCAAAATGTGTAAGACAGGGTATAATGATTTTGAGGAATTTTACGAAAACTGTTAAGTCTCGCAAAGGTATTAAGTTTACATATTCGAAGTATTTTATTATAAAATGCAATATTATACTATTAAAACTCTTTAATAAAATTAAGGAATACGCATTTTATATTGAAACGGTAGACCTCATAGACGTACAAGTAACAAAGGGTATTTGTATTCTATAGAGACTTTGGATTGTTTGAATGGCTGTCTCATTGATACTTTTGTTGAGCTTAAGCACTTTGTGTTTTTAATTTTTTTAGAGTTGTAGGGAGAGCAGGCAAGTTGCAGAGACCTTTTAAATACCTGTGTTGCCCCCATCTGATACTTTTGCTTAGCTCAAACTCAACTATTTTCCTGCAGAACTGAAGGGAGAGCGGGGAAGTTGCCAGCTGTGGTCCGGGCCAAAAGCGAAGCCGATTTCTTCGTGGACAACATATCAATTGCGTGTTGTTCTGCGAATGAGGTCGTCGGTTTTGGACATGGCCAACAGATGTTGTTGGCCTGGCTGCACAGACTTAGGTGAGCTGCCAGCGTATGATGCAGGATTACCATCAGGCAGCACCCAGTGCTACCCAAACTGTAATCTGCGATACGTGCCCAAGACGTTGGCTCATTTATTTAATATGCTGAACTGCCCGCGCCCAAAGGCACGACGCGCTCAGCGGACGAGGCTCATGCAAGTTTTATTAAATCAATCAGTGGGCAAACGCGTCTAACGGCAACTGACAACTGGACGCGTGGACAGCCGGACAGCCGGACAGTTGGCCAGTCGGACAGTTGGACAGGTGAAAAAGTGGACGTTGGCCACTCGCATAGCTTTGCCTTATGCGCCGGCTTGCATTTGTAATGCCAAAGCCGGATGGGGTATGCCGCCTGCTGCAAGACAAGGAACAAGGAACATGCCACTTGGCATAACTGTTGGCCAAATGCTGCTGCATTTCTCTGGCTGCATCCAAGCTTGGCCCGGCAGCTGCAGTATCGATAGCCAGCACATAGCTGACATTGTTTCCATTGAAGTTGGAGACAACAATGCGAATTTTATATGTATTCTATAATTAAAAACTGAACCATGCGGATTTTACCTATTTGTTTTTAAAACAAATTCATAGCTATTTAGAAACTAATCGATATTTATCGATATGTTGGATAGAGCACTTGTTAACATACAGCAATAGTAAGCGATGTTATTTGGCCTGAAGAAAATAATTCTCTTAGTATATACATTTTCTGAATTAAACCTTTTAGTTAAAGTGTAAGTACAGTCATCTGTTTACCGAATAAATAGTCCAGCCCTAGTTTCAATATTATGTGTTATCGATAACTGTCTATACACGGCAAAGGGTTATCGAAATCTTTAAATATGATGTGTTATCGATATCTGTCAATGCAACTTATATATTGGCATAAGCTTAATTTCGAAATAACTAGCCTCTTTTTCGCTTCGATAATTGTTGTTATCGATAACTTAAGGCAATCGATATTGTTGATTTATTGATTGATTTATTCACCTGCTCATTAAGCTGGGGTGATGAGGGCAACGTCAGGGCAGCTCCTGCCACGCCGCCGCTCATGGGCGGACACGACTGCCGCTTGAAGTCGCGTCGAATGGCCAGCTCGTACCAGGGGATCAACGGCTTGCTCCTCAGCGTTGTCTGGCAGCCGATCTTGAAGTCCAGGGGATCCATATACTCCGGCGCCAGGCGATTCAGATCGCTGACAGCCGCCTCCGCGGTGGCATATATGTTGCCAGCTGACTTGTGGTTTCCCTGTGGATGCCGCCAAGGGCCGTTCATGTCCAGCATGGAGCCGCACGGCGGCACATCCAGGCTGCGATGCAGGCCAGCGCCCATGCTCTTGACCCGCATGTGGCCCAGCGTGTGATAGCGCCGATCCACGGCGCTGGGCAGCATGGGCATGGCACTGGGCACAACCAGCAGCTCGTCCTGGTCGATGGTGGCCAGGCTCTGGCTGGTGTAGGAGCGCTCCAGCAGCTCGGTGCTGTTGCTGCGCTGTGTCACGATGGGCAGCTCGTACAGATTCAGCCGCCTGGTGGTCGGCGGCCGTGTGGGCGTCGCATAGATCTTTGGCTTGGCATAGAGACTCTCGCGGCGCACAGGCGCCGGCGGCGGCAGACCCGTGGGCGAACGTGGTGGCGCCTCCGTCAGCGACAGGGACAGCGTCATGGGTCGCCGGCTGCCCGTCGAGCTGACGGAATTGTGGCGCAGGGTGGCCCGCCTGCTGTCGCGCTCCTGCATATCAAAGCTCAGCTTGGGCAGCGGCGAGTAGCAGACGCGCTCGGAGCTGTCGTAGGAGCTGCGCAGGCCGCTGTCCAGCCGCCGCTTGGGACTCGCCGGCGCGGTGTACAGAAATATGTGCTCCTCCTCGCCGGCGG